GTCTCGCGGCTGAGCTGGCGCCCAGGGGGAGGTTTCAGCCTCAATCTCTAACCATCCCCATTTTCTAGGAGTTCTCTGTCTTTCCTGGCTGCAGACTGTCTCTCAGCTGAATCTCCTCTGCTTGTTCGGGCTGTATGTTACCCGTTTCAGCTGCTCGCCCTTATCTGGTCCGGGACAAAGCACCAACACGTCCGTCTAAGCCTCCGCCATTTTTTCTTCCTCCGTGTGAGGTGATTTCACATTGTGGCTTCGATTGGCATTTCTTTGATGATTAGTGACGAGTATCTTTTCTCTGTATGTTCTCATTGGAGAAATAACTTTTTATTTTCTTTGCCCATTTTTCTATCAGATTTTTTAATTTTTGGGATTGACTTTTATGAGTTTCTTATATATTTTGGATATCAACCCCTTATCATTTGCAATTATATTTTCCCATTCAGTAGATTGTCTTTTTGTTTTGGTGAAGGTTTCCTTTGCTGTACAGGAGCTTATTAGTTTGATATAGTCCCATTTGTTTGCTTTTGCTTTTGGTTCCTTTGCTCGGGAGGTTGTATCCAAAAAGATATTACTCAGACTGATGTCAAATAGTTTGTTTCCTATGTTTTATTATAGGAGATTTAGTCTTTAACCATTTTGAGTTTGTTTATTTGTTTGTTTTTGTTTAATCCTCACCTGGGTATATTTTTCCATTGATTTTTAGAGAGAATGGAAGGGATGGAGGGAGGGGGAAAGAGAAAGAGAGGAAAAGAAACATTGATGTGAGAGAGACACATCAGTTGGTTGCCTCCTGACCAGGGATCAAAACTGCAAACCAGGTTATGCCCTTAACCAGGAATCAAACCCACAGTCTTTTGGTGGGCAGGCCGACCTTCTACCCACTGAACACACCGGCGAGGGCTTGAGTTTATTGTTGTATATGGTGTGAGAGAGTGTCCAGTTTTTCCAATACCACTTATATACTGGCCTTAACATCAGTGATGCTCAGCGCATGGAAAGATGCACAGTCACTGTGGCATTCTTTTCAATATAAATATAGTTGGTATACAGTATTATATTGGTTATATTAGTTGTTACTCCATTGTATATGTTTTACCTCTTTGGTCATAGACTATATAAGTGAGCGTTTATTTCTGTTCCACTGATCTATGTGTCTGCTTTTTTTGCCAGTATCATGCTGTTTTGATTATTACAGCTTTGCAGTGTAGTTTGAGATCAGGGAGCGTTATACCAGCAACTTTGTTCTTCTTTATTTGGGGTTGCTTTCATTATTTGGGGTTTTGTATTGTTCCATATAAATTTTAGGAATATTTGTTCTTGTTCTGAAAAGAATGACTATATATACACTACAATATGTGTTGCAGCATTACTTACAATAGCCCAAATATGGAAGCAACCTAAGTGTCCATTGATAGATGAATAGGTAAAGATGTGTTGTGTATATACATATGGAAAATTACACAGCAATAAAAAGAATGAAATATTGCCATTTGCAACAACATGGATTGATCTAGAAGGTATTATGCTAAGTGAAATAAGTGAGGCAGAGAAAGAAAAATACCAAATGATTTCATTTATATATAAAATCTAAAAAAATAAAACAAATGAACAAACAAAACAAAAATAGACTCATAGAAACAGAAGCCAAAGGTGTGTTACCAGAAGGGAGATGGTGGGAGGATGAGTGAAATGGGGAAAGGAAATATAGTCAATAATGTGATAATTTTGCACAAATTATTACGAGAATTAGTGTGGTGATTACATTGTAAGTTAATGTCGAATCACAATAATGTCTATATAATACTGTATACCAACTATATTTATATTAAAAAAGAATGCCACAGTCACTGTGCACCTTTCCATGCTCTGAGCATCAGTGATGTTAAGGCTAGCGAAACAGTCACAGTCTTGTGGAGTTCTCAGCCTTGTGAGGGAAGCATAGTGGATACGAAGAAGGGCAGTGGGTATCCTAGGTTAATATTTCATTGCAGGACACCCCATATTCCCTCCTTCTCTCACTTCCCTTTCTACCTGCCCAGACCTGTTTGTAGCCCCTGGTCAGCACTCGATTTACTTGAGGCTGGGTCTTGTGAGTGGCCCTCAGGCTGCCCAGAGATGCAGTGGTGTCCTCATAGGACTCTACCTCGTGGGACTCCTACTTCAGATCATGGAGAGTCTGGCTTCAGAGACTGCATACCACCCTGGCACCTCCAGACCCACTTCTGTCTGCCACCTTGTCCTTGGGGACCCTGTGTTCTGAATGGTGGTATTTGCCATGACATCTGCTTGGCCTCGGGGAGAGGGGGTGTCAGAGGGCCCGAGCTCTAACCTGGCTCTGGCACATAGAAGCTGTGTGTCCTCGAACAAGTTAGTTTGCTTTTCTTCAGTTTCCTCACCTTAAAAAAAGGGATGCCCTAGCTGGTTTGGCCCCGTGGATAGAGCGTCCGCCTGCAGACTGAAGGGTCCTGGGTTCCATTCTGGTCAAGGGCACATGCCCGGGTTGCGGGCTCAATCGCCAGTAGGGGCCGTGCAGGAGGCAGCCAATGAATGATTCTCTCTCATCAATGTTTCTTTCTCTCTCTCCCTCTCCCTTCCTCTCTGAAATCAATAAAAATATTTTTATAAAAGGGGAGAAGGATGATAATAGAACCTTCATTATGGAGGTGACATGAGAAGGGAGCATTACGATGTACGTAAAATGCTGAGTGCACATGGAAGCTGAAAATGTTAGTTATTGCTATTACTGATATTACCCACCATGACTGGTGCTGCCTGTTGAGTAATGAATGTTCCAACAGAGGAAGCAGCAGGCTCAGAGACCCTGAGATAAGAAAGAGCTCAGTGTGCTAGTGGGGAAAAGTGGCCAGAGGGACCAGGGTGGAGAGAAAGAGCAGGGCTGCCACTATACACTGCTGTGGGGGCACTGTCCATACTGAGGTCTGGGTAGGTAGTGCCCACTGGGATTATGCAGTGGCCCTGTGTGTGTATGTGGGGGGAGGGGGGCGTTGAGGGGCACAAGATGAGGTCAGAGAGGGAAAAAGGGTCCTCCCCACACCAGCAGCCTGTGAAGGAACAAGAGCTGTTAGGAGAAGGGCCTTGGCCTCACAGCCCATGTGCTTAAGCCATACATGAGACCCTGGTCAGCACTGATTTACAGAGAGATGAGTATTTCATTGTATTTTACAACCAGGCTGTTTGAACACAGCTGTAATCATAGAATAGGTTAGCAACCCTGGTTGCTCACACTTGGTTTGGCTGCTGCTTGGCTACTTGAGCCAGGTCTTCCCTGTCCTGAGCCTCCCTTTTCTCTGGCATTAGTTGCCGGGAGCCATTTCTTTATAACGTAACATTCAGAAGCACGCTGTTCCAGAGAACACAGTGGAGAAGACTCTGTCTGTCCTTTCCCCATCTCTTCCCTCACCTTGCCATGCTTACCTAACTGTTCTCATCACATTGACCTCCACTTCCCAACACGCCAGGTGCATGTTCACTGTAAGGTCTGCCAGTCATCCATCACTGCAGTAACTCGCCTGAGAAACCACCCAGGACTGGGCGTTTATTTCTCTCCCAGTTACCAGGTGCTGTGGGCTGGGTTCAGGTGTGCCATTTGTTCTCTTAAATACGCTGGAGTGAGTTCTCACAGAAGATCGTAAGAGCCCAAGCAGTCAAGCCAGACTGGATCAGCACATTGAAGGCCTCTCTGCTCATGTTGGTTGGCTCTATGGCCCTGGCCTCAGCAAGTTACATGGCCAGACCTGGCATTGTGGGTAGAGAAAGGCAAATCTCCTTCCACAGAGCCACAGTGCAGGGTTTGGCTGCATTGAGCAGAGTGAAATGGAACCGATACTCCCATTTGCAATGGGAGCCAAGCTTTTTTATTCTGTCTCTGGCTCTTTCTCATCCTTAAAACTTCACCTTAGAAAAGTCTGACATAAACCCTTAGTAAAAATAGTATTACCCATGCCCCTCCAACCTCCATTTCTGTTACAATGCTGTATTTAGTTTATCTGTCTCACTTAACAGTGTTGTAATATCTTGTTTATAGTTTATCTCCCTAAGTAAGGTGTGAGCTCCACGTGGACAGAAACCTGGTCTTTCTGTACTGTCCTGTCAGTAGATGTAGAATGAATGGATGAATGGATGAATTTCATGCCTGTGGGTAAGTGCAGAGTAGTTTTTGTCTCAAGTCTTTAATTTTGTGTATTTCAGCCTGTGAAGTCCATTTTGAAAACACCAAGGTGCCCATTGAAAATGTTCTAGGAGAAGTTGGAGGTGGGTTTAAGGTGAGTTGCCAGAAGCAGCTCCTGTGACTGCTGTGCGGTTTCATGGTGCTGTTTGTTGGCCCTAGCTTTCTGTATCATCCCTGCTTGTAGCAGACCAGCCTGTGCTGGCCCGGTGACCATGTGTGGTTCTCCTTTGGGAAATCAGCAAAGTGGAAAGGGAAAAAATTGCCTCCCAGTAGAGGAAGTGTGTGGTTAGAACTAAGTCTCTTCATTAATCAGTGAGGTTTTGTTTGCCTTGAGTAGGGACAAGATTCCTCTCCAGCACGCATGATAAAGCAGGCCAGTGGCACTGGAGAAGCACAGGTTCTCCAATGACTAGCCCTGGGTCCTGAAGCCCCAAGATGTTTTGTTTTTGAGTCAGATGTATTATTATATTTTTATTGACAGATAATTCATATAACATAAAATTCACTGTTTTCAATTGTACACATTGGTTGTTTTTAGTGTATTCGCTATGTTGTGCAATCATCACCATGGTTTAATTCCAGAACATTTCCATCACCCCAGAAATAAATGCCATCCCTCCCATTTCCAGTTTCCCCCAACCCTTGGCAATCACTATATTAATTTCTGTTTTTATGGACATATCATATAAATGTTATATATATGTGGCCTTTTGTGTTTGGCTTCTTATATGAAGTATTACTTTTTCAAAGTTTATCCAAGTGGTAGCATTTGTTATTCCTTTCAGAGGCTGGGTAATATTCCATTGTGTGGATAGACCACATTTTGTTTATTCATTTATCAGCTGATGGACCTTCTTATTGTTTCCACCTCTTGGCCATTATCAATAATGCTGCTATGAACATTTGTGTACAAGTTTTTGTGTGAACAATATGTTTTCAATTCTTTTGGGTATTTACCTAAAAGTGAAATTTCTGGGTCATATGGTGACTGTACATTTAACTTTTTGGGGAACTGCCCAGCTATTTTCCACAGTGGCTGCACCACTTTACATTCCCATCATCAATGTATGAGGGTTCTAGTTTCTCCACATCCTCATCAACACTTGTTATTGTCCATTTTTAAAATGATAGCCATCTTAGTGTGTGTGACATCATATCTCATTGTGGTTTGATTTGCATTTCCCTAATGACTAATACTGCATCTTTTCATGTGTTTATTTGCAATTTTTGGAAAAATGTCTTTTCAAATCCATTGCCCGTTTTTAAATGTCCTTTTTGTTGTTGTTGTTGCCCTGTCCTAATTTACTGAATCACTTAGTTAAGTATCTTTACCCTGGTAAGATCCTCTACCCTCTTGGCTGTGAAGCAGAGAACAGAGTAATACCTTCCTCCCCATGTCTTGAGAATCAGATAAATGCCATCAGCTAGTGCTCCTGACAGGATGCTACTTGGTGAATGTGGAACAAAGGGTTGTGGAGGTGGAAGGACAAACATGGGAGCAGCAGTCTGGGGCAGTGATAGGTTTGTTTGTCACCCTGAAGATATGCAAGTTAGAGAATATAGATAAAGAGAAAAAAATGAATTCTGAAACCTGTCCCCAAGAGGATTGGCATTCATTGTTCACATTTTTGTGCTATCTTTCTAGATTTTTATAAAGACCATTCGTCCCTTAAATCTGGTGTGAATGTGTACTATAGTCTGCATTTTTTCATTTATCAATAATCCTAATGTAAACCAAAGTTAATTTTAGACTATAAAAAATAATTAAAAGCATTTATTTGAGCAAAAGGAGCTGCAGCCCAGGAGACACAGATTCAGGGAAGAGCCTAAATTGTGTTCCACCAAGACAAAGGGGAGGCCCCTTTTATAGCAAAAGTTGTCCCCCAGGCTCTCAATTAGGTCTGTTTTATATAAATGAGGTGTCCAAAATGTGCAGTTCTGATTGGACAGGGCAGATCTCAGTCCCTTGGTAAAAGATCAAACCAGGGTTTCCTTGCAGGGGTTCAGTCTGAGGTTCTTCGAGGTATAGAGTACATGAGGAGCCCCTGTCAGCAAATGCCTGCTAGGCTCTTACTTATAAAACTTAGGCCCTTGGTTAACCATGGGGAATTCATTTCAGTAGATAAATTCCTTCTCAGGGTTCACATCAAAGGAATCTTTCTACTTTGGGGTCCACATAATCATCTTTTTATGCCAGTAAATGTATATTGCTGTAAGTGTTTAATGCTGCATAGTATTGCTTCATGTAGTGATACCAAGTTAAATGTTACCAGGTTCTCAGCACTGGGAATTTAATAGTGTTTTCACTTCTTTTCTACTCAGAACCACATTGCGTGGCATATATCCTTGTATATATCTTTGCATACTTTTTTTCTTTCTTTCTTTCTTTTTTTTTTTTAAGGGTTCTTTTCTTTAGTATATTTTTATTGATTTCAGAGAGGAAGGGAGAGGGAGAGATAGAAACATCAGTGATGAAAGAGAATCATTGATTGGCTGCCTCCTGCATGCCCCACATTGGGCATCGAGCCCGCAACCCAGGCATGTGCCCTTGGCCGGAATTAAATCCGGGAGCCTTCAGTCCAAAGGCCTACGTTCTACTCACTGAGCCAAACCAGCTAGGGCTTTGCATACTTTTCTAATTCTTTCATGAGTTTAAACACCGCTAGTGAAGTTACTGGGTCAGAAGGTGTGAATGTTTTTAAATTCCTGATCCTTGTTGCCAAATTTCCTTCTGGGAATTTGGACCAATGTCTACCCTTCAGTGTGGAGGATGTCCCTGCCCCTAGACCTTCCGGACGCTGCATTACATTTTTTCCCATTGTGTTAGGTAAAACATTTTTGTTTTAATATGCAAAGAAAAATAGATTTATAAATCCCTTTACTAATTTAGTGGGATTGTTTGCCAGTCAGCTTAATTACTAAAAAATGTGTCACACCTCAGTGATTCCAGAGATCACAAAATGATCAAAGTGAGTGGCTGATGAGAGATAAAAGTAAGAGCTTCTGCCCTGACTGGTTTGGCTCAGTGGATAGAGCATCAGCCTGCGGACTGAGGGGTCCCAGGTTCGATTCCGGTCAAGGGCATGTACCTTGGTTGCGGGCACATCCCCAGTAGGAGGTGTGCAGGAGGCAGCTGATCGATGTTTCTCTCTCATCGATGTTTCTAACTCTCTATCTCTCTCCCTTCCTCTCTGTAAAAAATCAATAAAATATCTTTTTAAAAAAAGAAAGTAAGAGCTTCTTCTTCTAGTGCAGTGATGGCGAACCTTTTGAGCTCAGCGTGTCAGCATTTTGAAAAACCCTAACTTAACTCTGGTGCCGTGTCACATATAGAAATTTTTTGATATTTGCAACCATAGTAAAACAAAGACTTATATTTTTGATATTTATTTTATATATTTAAATGCCATTTAACAAAGAAAAATCAACCAAAAAAATGAGTTCGCGTGTCACCTCTGACACGCGTGTCATAGGTTCGCCATCACTGTTCTAGTGCCTTCAGGTTTTATCAGTAGTCAGACTGCTTAGGGCACAGAGGCAGTTAACTGACAGAGGCTGTTCAAAGAATGGGTTGCATCTTGCATCTGGGAAAATTGAGATCTAGACTGTACTTATGGGAATTATAGAAGGGAGTTATTTTGTAGTAGAAAAGGTGATAAAGTGCAAGTGCTGATGCAGGAGGAGAGGACTGAGGTTAGGGGGGAAGATCAGTCTTTGAGTTTGTGAGCCCCTTTTCAGCTGTGGCTAAACCCATCAGGTCTTTGATCCACAGGAAATGAGACCTAGTATCAAATTATTTTCTCCTTTTATTTTCGTTTTGTTGTTTTAAGTGAAAAATTAAGCATGAAGGGGCTGTGAAGTAAATTTTGTTCATAAAACTATGAGTTAGCTTTTGAGAGCCCAGTTAAGAAGAGGGAAGAGGAAATACAGATGGGATTTCCTCTTCCCTCTTCATGTCCTGGTCAGTGTCCTCCCACATTCTGAGACATCAAGTCTGAAGTTAGAGTTAGAGGCTCCACCCTTCTCTCCTCCCCCCACCCCCCCAAAGAGGCAGGGCAGGACCTGAATGTAACACTATGATATGATGTGACTTAACCAAGCTCCCTTCCCCATCCAGTGCAAGGTTTGGCCTTGTCCTCCATGTTTTCCAATTGCCTTGGATTGAATATTTAGAACCAATACTTGCACTTCCCAGTAACTGGAGCAGTTGTTTCTAGTCTCTCCAGTCCCACAGAATCTGTTTTGCGGGATTCTACCATTGATTTAACAAGTAAACAAAAATGCAAATTGGTTTGCCTATTTTATAATGCTAGTCACACATAAGCAAGCCATCAATAAAAAGCAGTATTGCATTTTCAGTTTTGCTTTTAGGAAAACTATAGCGTTCACAGACACCTTTCTACCCCCAGACCCCAGCCCTGCCTTTCAATGCTGGACTTGGGATGCCCTTTCTCCCTGGGATGGCCAGGTAGACCTAGCTGAGGGATCTCTTGGGTGGGAACATTTGCTACCCAACATACCCTCTTCCTACACCAAAAGAAACATGCCCACCCATTCCTACTGGACTTGTGTACCCCCTTTACTCCACCATTATTACCACGGGCCACCTGTTGCCTAATCAGCTGTTTGCCTCTGTGCCCCCTGTAGTCGGTAAGGGGACACCACCATGAATCTAGATAGACTAGATAGATAGACACTTAGGAAGCAGTGTGTGCACACAAATGTATGCCTGTTCCTCATCACAAGCCACTCATCATCTGCATTAGGTAGGAAGTTAAAATTGATAAAGAGGAGAGAAACTGACAAAGCTCCTTAAGAAATACGTCATCATTGTAGGAATTTGGTGGAGGAGGAGCATGTCATGGCAGTGTAAGGGGCTGGTTCAGTGGAGAGAGCACAGGCCTAAATGCAGGCAGATGTTTGCTGTGTGGCCTTGGGAGAAGCCCCTCGTCTCTCTAAACCTCAGGTTCTTCATCTGTACAATGAGAACCCTGATGCGGAAGCAATGTTGGGAAGGTGTAAGTAGCTGGCAGCATGTACCCAATAAGTCTTACTTGCATACTTTTCTTTCTTTTCTTCCCGGGGCCTAAGAGGATTCACGTGTTCCTTTAGAACGAAGTTATTCAGTTCCTTTTTAGGAGGCGACTCCGAGCCACAGCAGTGATGGTGTGACCTTGTTTTGAAGTGTTGGAACTGTGCTCTCTCCCTGCTCAGTGAGGATTGGCAAGATGATTAACTCAGCCCAAGTACTGGCACAGAATTCTTTAGGGACTTATCTTTTGTTTTCAAACCTTCTGGTAAAAATAGACAAGCACTGTTGTGGTCTGTCACCTTCAGTCCTCCAGGCCCTTGGGCTGTTCCCAGCACAGTATGGGCAAGCAGGACTCTGTGGGAGTGGAATCCACAGTGAGCCCATGCTTTCTCTGCAGGTGGCCATGAACATCCTCAACAGTGGGCGGTTCAGCATGGGCAGTGCTGTGGCCGGGATGCTCAAGAAATTAATCGGTAAGTATGTCAGGGACAGCAGCCCTTTGCGACACAGCCTCGCCCCTGCTGCCTCCCCTCCAGCCTGGACGCTCTGCCATGTGCTCACGACAGACGGTGCTGAACATCGGGCAGATGGTCTCACTCAAGTTTAGGACCTGGGCTGTGGTTTAGATCAAAGAATGTACTCGGTCTGTCCCCAAAGGGTGAGTGTTCATGTTTCAGCACTCCTCTATTTTACCTGCTCAGAAAGGATAGGAGGAGGGGAGTGGACATTCTGTCAGAGATGAAGCGGGTAACTGCTCTGACCCCTAGGAGCAGAGCTACTTAGTGAGCATCCAAGTGTGAGCCAGACACCTGTAAACATTAGCCCTGGTTCTCCCAAGATCCCCGTTTTGTAGGTGACTCTTTGCACAGTGGGTGAGGAGTGGGATCAGGTTTGGAACCCAGATCTCTCAGCCTCTCAATCTTCCCTTTGTTTTTTCTGTTAGGATGCCTGAAATCTGGATTTTCCTTTGCCAGTAAACTTAAAATAGCCCTATAAGGTTTTTGTTGGGCACAGAACATGATTACTACATTAGTTTTGTGGGAAATGCAGGGGGCACTGGCCACGGATGGTGGGAGATACCCAGCGGCTGTATACACTGAGGGCTTATGAAGTTCCTCAGAGTTCAGGGCAAGGTGGGATGGGAAGGCTTTGCTTTGGGTTCTTACCTTCCTTTTATAGATGAGGAGACTGATGCTCAGAGAGGGTAAGGGTTTTGCCCAAGGCCATGTACCTGGGCCTAAAAGCTGGTCCTGTCAGACGCCAAGCTCAGGGCTTGTCTCACTCTGCTGAGCTGCTCCCAAGACCCTGAAGTCCTCTGGATTTCTTTCCCATTCGGAAATTCCTCAGTACAAGAGCTTTGTGGGGCTGCTCACGGCCAGCCTCTCCCCAAAGGATGTAGAACGATGATATCCCAAGTCCCGGAAATGTGTGAATGTGGGTGCCTGTTTACCATCTGAGCCCACCATGAGAAGCAGTTGTGATTGGATCATACCTGTGGGAATGTTTGGAGAATGCCGACTGTAGGGGCGGGGGCTGCTGACTGGGTGGGATGCTGCCCTATTCAGTTGGGTGCCTTCGCAGCTGGGACCATGACGCAGCTTGTGTTCACATCTGTGCACTTTGAAGCCATAGGCCCAAGTTTTCAAAAACAGATCGCCTTCCCGCTTTGGGGATGAACAGCTGTGACAGGTGTGAGCCAGTCCCTACTTCTGTCTAGGGCGTTTATGGGGGCATGACTTGGTGCTAGGCGCCTTCCACCTGCATCGTGCAGTCTTCACAACTCTGTGAGATCAGTGGTATTGTTCAGGAAGGTGAAGTCGCTTGTCTTGGGCTACCAGCTGGTAAGAAAAAGTACCAGACTCAGACCTATGTCTGACTTCAAATTGTGCTTCACGTCTGTCCTGTGTGCTCTGGGCACCACTGGGCGTGGATAGTCCCTCCTCCAGCCTGGCTTTGCTAGAAAGCAGGGGCTCTGTCTTTCAGGGGGCTTGGTCTCAGCAGACTGTTTCACATAGTTTCTGCCTGAGGGCTGGAAGGTGATGATGACAGCCTTAGTAAATTATCGTAGGACAACCAGAAAATTGTTCTTTTAAACACTCTGTTCTTCTTCAGAAATGACTGCAGAATATGCCTGCACGAGAAAGCAGTTCAACAGGAGCCTCAGTGAATTTGGATTAATTCAGGTACTAAGGTTGTACAAGTGGCACTGTATGGATTTCACTGTGTGAGCATTGTGTCTTTCAGTGTCTGTACTGGTGACTTCTGTAAGTGACTGGGGAAGAGGACAGGCTTTATTTAATGTGACACCCTTTTTTTAAAAAAAATATATTTTTATTGATTTCAGAGAGGAAGAGAGAGGGAGAGATAGAGCATCAATGACGAGAGAATCACTGATCGGCTGCCTCCTGCACGCCTCCTACTGGGGATTGAGCCAGCAACCCGAGCATGTGCCCTCGTCCGGAATCAAATCCAGGACCCTTCAGTCCGCAGACCAATGCTCCATCCACTTAGCCAAACCAGCTAGGGCGATTTTATTCACCTTTAGAGACCACTACTGTGGGAGGGGCTTTACGGAGGAATTGGTATATAAAAATGACCCTGAAAGGCAAGTAGGATTTCAAAGCAAAATCCAAAGGAGGGATGCTAGGCCAGGACCATAGTGCTAGAGGTGGGAGAGTATCTGGTGTGTTTGGAAAAGCAAGAAGCCCTGCTTTGCTTGCTGGGGCATAGAGTATATGCAGAAGTGGCTGGAAAGGTAAGTTAAGGGTGTGCTGTGAAGGGTCTTGAGTGACAGGGTATTTGATAGGTGAGGTGAATGACCTGTGTCTGTGTAGCAGAGGGAGGCTGAGGAGGAGGTTCCAGTTACTATGGAAGTGGTCGGCGGGAGCCAGGGAAAAGGTCTTAGAACTGGCCAGGAATGTGACACCCTTTTGTGAATGCTCAGGCTCGGTTCTCTTGTATAGTGTGAGGCTTTGGACTTCATTACCTTCTCTGCTGGTTGGCAGATTTGGTTCTCAGCACATATAAAATGCTTCTTGCTTTTATTTTTTTTTAACACTCCAGGAAAAGTTTGCCTTGATGGCTCAGAAGGCTTATGTAATGGAAAGTATGGCCTACCTCACTGCAGGGATGCTGGACCAACCAGGGTTTCCTGACTGCTCCATGGAGGCTGCCATGGTGAAGGTAATCCCAGCACAGCCCGAGGGGAGCTGAGGAAAGCTCCTTAGCTACTGTGGGGTCCGTGTGGTCAAGGAAGATAAAGGACTTGCCTGAGTTCATCCAGTGAGACTGTGACAATCAGAGCTCCTGCCTCGTTCGGTCTCATCTCAAAGCCCAGTTCTCTCTTGAGCCTCCCATTCCATCCCCAGCCACTCTGCCCCTGTTCTGAGGCCTTCCTTTTGGAAGGGAGTTGGCACTGACCTTCTCCCGGGTCTGTGGCAGGTGTTCAGCTCAGAGGGTGCCTGGCAGTGCGTGAGTGAGGCGCTGCAGATCCTCGGCGGCTCGGGCTACATGAGGGACTACCCGTACGAGCGCATGCTGCGTGACACCCGCATCCTGCTCATCTTTGAGGTGCGTGCCCTGATACCAGATCCACCTCGTTCTGCCATGGACCCCCTGAGCCTCCTGGTTCTGGGCCCAGGCTGGCTTCTGCGTTCTGTCATTTAACCCTCTTCACAACCCTGCCTAGACCCTGTTCTGCAGACTGAGAGGCCAAGCATTTCACCTAGGGTCTCACTTCCAAGGGCCCTTCTGTTGAGCCTACCACCTCCTGGCAAACCACTGCAGGTCTTTGCCAAGTTGCTTTTGCCAGCTGTGGTGGGACAAACAGAGATCTTCTCATAGGAAGGCCTCAAATGCTCTCTCTGGGTCTGGGTTTTCTTCTCAGTATATTGAGGGAGCTTAGGAGGGTCATCTCTGAGGGCTTTCCCAGCCTGGCAGTTCTTGCCCTCTACTTGCTGTCCCCCATGAATTCACAAGCCTAAAGGTGCTGGGAGGGTCCTGGGTGGGGAAGACACCTCAGACACATCCCACCTTTGGAGTGCTAGTGGTCTTGATTGTGTGGACCGACTGACCAAGGAGGAAACCAGAATACCAGGGAGTGAGGGACAGGTGCATCTCTCCTGAGGGACTGAAGTCTTAGGAAGCAATTGCACTTGAGGGCAGAAAGGATTTTGACCAGGCATAGGGGAGGCTGTATGGGCCGAGCACAGGGAAGTAGAGCATCCTAGGCCCAGACAGGAGCTTACCTGCCCCCTCTAAGTGAGTGGAGGTAGAATAAGCAAGCCTTTGTGGGAGTATTGGCCAGGCCTGCTTCATGGGCTGGGGCAGGTGATGGAGCAGGTGAGGGGGGAATGGAAAGGAGACAAGCAGCCAGGTTATATAGGACCTTGGTTTTTTACTCTGGGGGCAGTGGAAATGATAAAAGGTTATAGCCCTGCTTGAATGGCTTCCACGGTGTGAGCGAGCAGGCAGTAGCACGGTCCACCCAGTCGCACATGCAGGATGCTGGGGCTAACTTCCATGGGGCAGCTTTGACCTCTGTACTGCTGACCACAGGGAACCAATGAGATTCTCCGGATGTACATCGCCCTGACAGGCCTGCAGCACGCCGGACGCATCCTGACAGCAAGGATCAAGTAGGTGCCATTCCCACTCTGCTCCTTGGGTCCCACCTGGGAAAACAAGAGTGGGTGAGCAGTATTATCCTTGAAAAGCCGAGCCCATTCGCTGGCTGGCTGGAGAGAGGGAAGGTGGGCAGGAGCCTTGGCCAGTGAGTGTTTGGCCTTGGAAACTGGGCTCCAGAGTTCGGCCATTATTTGAGGCTGACAGGAGGAGCCAGCTACTCAGTGAAGCCCTCACTGCCCTGCCCATGGGCTCACTCCCTGGACAGTTCCTGTTTCCTATGCTGCAGGGACTTTTGTTTTCAGGATCTGGGAATGAGAGATGCCCCTTAAATAGATGCCAGGCTCCAAGGCCAACACAAGAACAATTTGTTTGTTTTCTCTCTCCCTTGCTCTTGCCCTCTCTTGCTCCTCTCAATCCCCATCCTGAGGCCAGGGCAATTAGAAATCACTGCTGGAGCCCAAGAACAGGTTGCTCAGAGCATATTGCAAAGTATTTACTGGAGAAGAATGACCTGGAAGCTGGCTGTGGCTCAGCTCCTTGTGGAGGGAACACAAGAATAGCTCTACCTCAGAGGAGACTGGCTGCTATCGGACAGGCTGGCCGGACTCAGCCTGCAGCCAGGTGCCCAGAGTGCCCAGACTAGGGGAAGGTCATATTGGGCCTGGGTTGGCACTTTATGGCTTTGCATAGTCAGGGAGAAGGAATGGGTGCCCTAGAGCTCTGGGGTACCTATTGGTGGGGGTTTTGTTGCTGGGCAGTGGGAAGAACAGCAGGGCCTCAGGTCATGGGGCCATGGGCTTTCTGCAGCGAGCTTAAACGGGGCAATGTGACCACTGTCCTGGAGACCGTTGGCCGGAGGCTTCGGGACTCCTTGGGCCGAACCGTGGACCTGGGATTGACAGGGAATCTCGGAGTTGTGCACCCCAGTGTTGCGGTGAGTGAGCCCAGCAGGTATAGCCTGTCAGATATCTTCCTCCCAGAAGGGATGTGACCAAGGGTGATGGGGAGGACCAGTCAGTCTGAGGGACAGCTGATGTCCCGTCTCCACCCTGTCACAATGGAGAACAGCCTGCATGTTAGCCAGGCCTGGGCCCTGGAGGCCCTGCCATCCCAGTGGGACAGGATGGCACCATGGGGAGGAGGTGCTGAGCTGAGTCCTTTCCTCTGGCCTCCAGGACGGTGCCAACAAGCTCGAGGAGAACGTGTATTACTTCGGGCGCACTGTGGAGACGTTGCTGCTCCGCTTTGGCAAGGTAGTCAGGCCCCTGCCAGACCCAGGGGTGGCAGGCCCTCCAACTTTGGGGTCAGGGAAATGGGGCCAGCATCTATGAGATAATGTTTTACCAAGTGTCCACCTTTAGAACCAAGCCCAGGAAGAAATCTACTCACCATGGAGGGGTGGAATGGGGAGGCAGGGCTGATGGGGTGGGTGCCCTGCTGGGGAGCCCCCTCCAGATGAAGAGAGGCTCCTGCATTTGTGGGGGGAAGCCTCAGCAGGGCATGAATCTCACGACCTGATCTGGGAGGCTCTGCGGCTGAAGATGTATTAATTAAGCCCTGGCCTCTGGTCTCAGCCAGGTTCCTGGGACTTGGTCTTACCTTTACCCTTGCCCAAATCTAGACAGAGTGAAAGGAAAACAGGCGGCCACCGGGAGCCAACTTCTCACAATCCCGAGGCATAAAATGAGGCTCAGAGATGTGAAATGTGCCCAGGGAGGGACTGTGGGGGATGGGATCGCAGGTAATGGGCCTCCACCCTGGGGCTCTGTGTTCCCAGACCATTGTGGAGGAGCAGATGGTCTTGAAGCGGGTGGCCAACATCCTCATCAACCTGTACGGCATGACAGCTGTGCTGTCTCGGGCCAGCCGCTCCATACGAGCAGGACTCCGGAACCATGACCATGAGGTGAGCCTGCTCTGCCCTGCCCTGCTCTACTCGTCCACACACAGGTAGCTTCCCACTGGCTTTGTCCTGCTGCACTCAACTGAGGCCCGGTGGTTGGGGGTGGGATCATTGAGTGGCATGGCCCAATTTAGCAGTCTCAAGTGGGAGGGCTGGGCAAGTCAAGGGGCTTGGAACCCCAGAGAGAGAGTAAAGTGCAGGGTCTGTGCAGCGGTTGACCTGGAGGCTGGTGGGTTTGCCGAGTTGTGGCTGTGGCCTGTGGTAAGTACTGAAGTTCCAATGGGAGGGAGGGTCCATGTCTGCTCAGGACACAGGGCCACTCCCTTTCATTTTCCCATTTGAGAGAAAAGGGTGGGTGAGTGATGGAGTCCTACACCCAGTGCCCTCACCCTGTCTGTCCTCCTCACCCTGCTAGAGGAGTCACTGAGTGCCTATGGATTTGGTCTTCATGTGCATTGACTCATAGTAGCCAGTGTCCACAGGAATTGTGATGTCTCTCTCACAGCGGAGGAAACTGAGGCTCAGAGATGTTGAGTAATTTGCTCTTGGGACAGAGCTAGTTTGGCTCTGGGCTGGAATTAGTACCTAAGATTGTGTCACTTCTGAGCCAAGCTTCTTGACCCCAGCCAAGCTGCCCAGTGGTTCTTTGAAGTTTAGAGCAGTGGTTCCCAAACTTATTTGGCCTACTGCCCCCTTTCCAGAAAAAATATTACTCAGCCCCTGGAAATTAATTTTTTTTAAATTTTAATAGCAGTTACTCATTGCCCCCAAATGCACCTGTGGCCATCACCGCCCCCCTGGATCGCTGCAGCGCCTACCAGGGGGCGGTAGCGCCCACTTTGGGAATCACTGGTTTAGAGGTCAGTCACCAGGGAGGGGGAGCCCTATGGCCCAGAGAGCTCAAGGTTCTCTCTGACCTTGGTTCTGGCAGGTTCTGTTGGCCAACATCTTCTGCACAGAAGCTTATTGCCAGAATCTCTTCACCTTATCTCAGCTGGACAAGTGTGAGTAGGGTTGCCTGGGGGAGGAAGGAAAGGGTCTGATTCTAGGCGACTGTTGATGGTGAGCTTCTTCTGGACCCTGTTGCCGGGGTTCATGTCCCAGCATCAAGAAGCGTTCAGGAATCTGGAAAAGGCGCTGTGCGTAGATGACATAGAAATCCAGAGACTAATAAAGAGTCCGGAGACGAGTTATAATTTTAAAAGGCATTGGGGGTCAGAGGACCTTCACCTAATGGAACTGAAGACTACCTCCTTGCCTAGGACCTTTGCTTTTTTTAAAAAAATATATTTTATTGATTTTTTACAGAGAGGAAGGAAGAGGGATAGAGAGTTAGAAACATCGATGAGAGAGAAACATCGATCAGCTGCCTCCTGCACATCTACTGGGGATGTGCCGGCAACCAAGGTACATGCCCTTGACCGGAATCGAACCTGGGACCCTTCAGTCCGCAGGCCAACGCTCTATCCACTGAGCCTAACCGGTTAGGGCAGGACCTTTGCTTTTATTAACACAATTTGTCTGTCCTAAGACAGGGTGGAGATAATACACCTCAAAGGGTAAGGTTTCAAAGGGTACAGAGGCATTGTCAGTTTGGGGAATAGCCTACGGCTGTTCAGGTGTTTGGCCAGTAGGAGGCAATAACATGTAGATTAAGATGCCCTTTAACTGTCTGGCAGCCACAATCAGTTTCCTATTCAAGGCTTGGGGAAATGCCTTTAGCCATTCCCAGATGGTGACTACATGTGTGACTCAACCCTGTTGAGTCCCCAAGTCTCATCAACCTTTTGATGAAACTCTTAAAATTATGACGTGCTGGAATTGGTCTATGGCACCCTGTCAGGCTCCCATGGCCTGCTGGCTACTCACAAACTTCTGCCTTGAGTGAGGGCTAAGACCTCCACTGGCAGCGAGGCAGGAGCACGAATCTGCAGGTGCAAGCTCTGCCAGAGCCCCTGTGCGGGCCCTGCAGCATCTGCCCAGGGAAGGTTCACAAAGGAAGGAGACATTTCCCTTGCCTTTTCACTCGAACACTGCAGTGGAGAGGAAGCTGCCCCTCTCACAGATGACCTGGGATGCTCTTCTAGACCATCTGCTCAGTCTGGAATGCTCCTATGGCCATGTCTTAGAATGTATAGCTTAAATTCTCCTCTGACCTTACAGTCCTGCTGGCCTCAAGGCTTTACATCATGTGTTCCAACAGAGCCCAGCCCTGTTGCTAAGAGATTGTGGAGAGGGGCACATAATTCTGTGTAGGTTCTGGCTCAGGGTGCTGTTCAGGCACCCTCCACAGTGCTGACTTGACTGTTAATGTGCTTTGGAGATGAGGAGATGGTTTCTCCTGCAATAATAGGCTTGCATCGCAAAGGGTCTTTTATTGAGCAAGTGCCTTCTCCCACAGGATCTAGAGTTTTTAGGGATTAACAAGATGATCCCTTTGTTATTCAGAGTAAAGCCTCTATGTACAGCCCAGAATCACTTCCTGGGGGTTTGGAGGGGTGGTGGGGATACCCACAGGCTGACTGTTAGGAAAACTGTTCCAGCAATATTCCTGTTGTCACAATGCAGACAGATCACCCGCTGTCTTCTTTCCCTCCCAGATTCTCCAGAAAATCTAGATGAACAGATCAAGAAAGTATCCCAGCAGGTCCTAGAGAAGCGAGCATACATCTGTGCCCACCCTTTGGACCGGACATCCTGAAGCAGAGGGATGGTGGTCACTGTTGCCGCCAGCCCCCAGGCCACAGCCTGTTGCTGGACAACTCTCACTTTTTCCAGAAGGTGTTGAACTTGGGGTTATTTTAAGTTGAACTTTATTCCCAGTCTTTACCTGAGGTCTTTCTCTTCGCCTGGAGAAACTTCTTCTAGGCTTGATCTGTGAGCACTGCTGCCTAACATGATCATTCCAGGTTCCTAGTGGAGATGGAGATGGATAGAGAGAGAATGGAGTTGCTGAGACCTGGAATTAGAGGATACGCTCTTAGTTTAGGAGACCTCAGAATGGAAACGGGCGCTTGAGCTGCTGCCTCTGTCGCATGAGCCTGCGGGGACCTATTTCGGGCATGGACGGCCATTTCTACTAGACCACACCTTTCCCAAGAAATAGCTTGAAAGCTGTGTATGTGTCATTCATTCAGACTAGCAGCAAAATATACTTAAAACATGTACCAGGAACCACTTAACAAAAAAAGAATATAAAATGGCACAGTTTGTGTTTACCCTTCTAGTCATGTTTTTCCTCAGAACCAGCCTTTAATGGATGGCAGCATGCTCCTAAAAACCACCCTTTGGTGATGGCTCTCAGTCTCTTTTGTCCTCAACCTGTGAGAAGAAGGCCTTGAAAGCTGAGGAGCAGGTTCCCTCTGCAGGGCCATGGGGATTATGAGCCCTATCTTTGATCCCTCTCGGTGATGGCTGGAAAACAGCATTGCTTGGTACATGACAACATATGCTTGTTTCCACCTGGGTTTTTCTGTCTGTTTTCTTTGCAAGGATTGCCTGTCTACAGTGGACCAGAAAGTTGACATTGCCTAAGGCCACTGGAACTGGTACATACAGCACCTGAGTTTAGAGAATGGAAAATAAAAGTAGCAACACCTACAAACATCCCCAAAGGAAGGGGAAAGTAAGAATAGATACTTTTGAAGAAATAATGAGTATCGAATTGATAAGGAAAATTCCAAGCTTGGACACATTTTTAGTGAGATTTAAAACAAAGGCAAAGATGAATTCTGAAAAGTAACAGAGAAAAAGGGCAGGGCACCTGTGAAGGAAAAAGTACGATGAACATCAGATCCCACAACAGCAATGCTGTAAATAAGAAGGTAAAGAACTTGAACCTGCAGATTTTTTGTTTTGTTTTGTCTTGGTTTTGTTTTTAATTGAATTTAAAATAATGAAAAGGCAAGCCACAGACTGGGAAAATATATTTGCAATACATGTGACTGACAACTGATCCAGATAAAAATAAAATAAAAAACCCACAAGCCAGTAAGAAAAATACAACTAAACTTCTTTTAAATAGAGGAAAAATATATAGTTAACAGGCACGTCACAAAATGAGATATCCAAATGGCCAATCATATGAACAGGTACTCAACATTATTACAGATATTTATAAGTATATATATGTGTGTTGAAAATAAGCTAATGCAGGAAGGCATACTGTATGGTTCCATTATATCAAGTTCAACAAGCAAAACTAATGTGGTGACACTTTAGGATGTTAGTTAATGGGGAAGGGATATGATACTTTCTGGGTGATAGAATTCTTCTACATGCTGATTTGAGTAATGGTTTCACAGATACCTATATATGAAAGCCTAAGTGACCATTACAACCAGACGACTGGTAGCTATGACGCGCACTGACCACCAAGGGGCAGACGCTCAATGCAGGAGCTGCCCTCTGGTGGTCAGTGCGCTCCCACAGCCAACCTCCTGCTGCCAGCCAACCTCCCACAGTCCCTCCCCCCAGCCAGCCAGCCCAATTAGCCTGGATTGGGACTGGGCAAGATGGCCCCGATTGGCCAGGAGGGACCCCACCTGTGCATGAATTCGTGCACCAGGCCTCTAGTATCTATATGTATGTGTGTGTGAATGACTTAAGATTTATGCATTTTACTAACTTTAATGTATTAAAAAAAAAGAAAAGAAAACTTGACATAAGAAAACCATAAGTGAATATTCTGTGAGAGAAAGCCATTGTGCAAGAATAGAAGCCTTTTAATATTTTACAAGAATATATATTACAAGAATAGAAGCCTTTTAATGATAGTGGCCAGCATTTGCTAGTATTGTCTATATGCTTTCCATCCATCATCTGATTAAATCTTCATTATAACTCTATGGACTCAGAATTTTTAATTATCTTGTGCAGTTGAGGAAACTGGAACCATACGTTTCCATGACTTATCAAGGGTTATAAAGCTAAAAGGGTAGTAGATCTAGAATCTAAATCTTAGAATATTTGGTTCCAAAGCTAGTGCTCATAATGACTCTACTACATTTACTCTCTGTTATAAATGAAATGATTCATAAAACTATCATTGTGCCAAAAATGGAGCTTTTACAAATAAAATTCTCTGTCATTAGAAAATAAATACATAGGAGGAGAAAGAAACAAATCCCTAATCATACTGTATTTGGATATTTTAACAGACTTCCTCTAGTGAGGGAAGAAACAGAATTTAAAGATACGGTTATAGAAGATTTGAAAAAAAGATTGACATATATAGAACATTATCAACAACTACAGGAATACACATATATTTCAAGTAAGTTGGGACATTTACCAGAATTGATATGCTGAACCAAAAATCAAATCTCAGCAATGGATAGAAGATATACAGTAAAATCAAGGTAGAACTCAGTAACAAAAAGATATGGGTAACTGAAACTTCCTAAAGTATTTAGAAATTAAACAGTATACTATTAAATAACCCATGTGTCAAAGAAAAAATAAAAATGGAATTAGAAATATTTTTAACTGAGTCATTATGAACATATGTATTTAAACTTGGGGAATGCAGTTAATGTTCACAGAAAATTCACAGCCAAAATGAATATAATAAAATGATAAATACTTAAAATCAATTATCTCAATATCCATCTGAAGAAATTAGAAAAAGAACAAATTAAATCTAAAAATAAAAAAATGAATAAGCAGAAATCAACAATATCCTATATAATAAAAGCCTAATATGCTAAGTGTCTGGTTGTCTGTTCAACCAATCAAAGCATAATATGCTAAGGCCGCTGAACTGCTCATGACGTGCACCACTGACCACCAGGGGGCAGACGCTCCAAACAGGTTAGCTTGCTGCTGGGGTCCGGCCAATCAGGACTGAGCAAGACAGCTGGACATGCTCTGGAGCCCTCCCATAGTCCCTCCCCGGCTGGCCAACCTCCCGCATCCCTCTCTGGCCCCAATCATGCACTGGTGTGGTCCCTTGGCCTGGCCTGCGCCCTCTCACAATCCAGGACTGTTCAGGGGTGCCGGAGAACTGGTTTCAGCCCAATGGCGAAATGACCAGTTGCTATGACACGCACTGACCACCAGGGGGCAGATGCTCAACGCAGGAGCTGCCCCCTGGTGGTCAGTGTGCTCCCACAGGGGGAGCACCACTCAGCCAGAAGCCAGGTTCACGGCTGGCAAGCGCAGCGCCGGTGGCAGGAGCCTCTCCTGCCTCTGCGGCAGCACTAAGGATGCCCAACTGACGGCTTAGGCCTGCTTCCCAAAGTAAGCGGGCCTAAGCCATCAGTCAGACATCCCCCGAGGGCTCCCAGACTGCGAGAGGGCGCAGGCTGGGCTGAGGGACAACCGCCCCCCCCCCCAGTGCACAAATTTCGTGCACTGGGCTTCTAGTAAAAAATAAAGGTATAATATGGAAATCAAAGGAGCAATGGAGAATATTGGTTCTTTGAAGAGAATATTGCATTCATAAATACAATTTCTTTTTTAAAAAATATTTTATTGATTTTTTACAGAGAGGAAGGGAGAGGGATAGAGAGAAACATGGATGAGAAGCATCGATCAGCTGCCTCCTGCACACCCCCCACTGGGGATGTGCCCGCAATCAAGGTACATGCCCTTGACCGGAATCGAACCTGGGACCCTTCAGTCTGCAGGCTGACACTCTAGCCACTGAGCCAAACCAGTTAGGGCCATAAATGCAAAACAAGGTTTTAAAATTTTTAGGACAAAATAATAATTTTATGACCTAGGGGTAGGAAATAATTACTTAAGGCAAAAAATACAAATCATAAGGGTAGAAATGGAAAATTTACAAAATTTCAAATAATTTTAATCAATAAAAGACATTAAGAGAGTGAGAAGACAGACAGCAGCTGATATATGCCACATATATAAAATGCCACCAGGCTAGCATTGAGAACATTAAAACACCTAAAATTCAAGGAAAATTTTTTATTAACAAATTTATGAACAGATATTCAAATTCACTAGTAAACAATGAAATGCAAATTAAAACCTCCATGTGATACTATTACACATCAGATTAACAATAAGTCTGGCTATAACCTGTGTGCATGGAAGTAGAATAATTGGAAATCATGCATGGTTGCTGGGTATACATTGGTATAACCATTTTGGAAATTAAAGTATTATCCTGGCAAATGAAAATGCTACTAAGCAATTCTAATTCTAGGTATATATCTTGCATATATATATACTAGAGGCCCGGTGCACAAAAATTTGTGCACTCGGGGGGGAGAGGGGGGCCCTCAGCCCGGCCTGTGCCCTCC